AAATCTGTCTTGAAAGTTAGTGCAATATTGCTGTTTCACCCTATAGAATAGTTTATTATTAGTTGATTTTTTCGAAAAACGTAAAATACGCAGGTATATCAAATTCGTATACAGTGTAGGAAAGTACCGATGGTCTATCAGAAGTTACGTGAGAGCGATAAAGTAAGCCATAGAAATCCATGTGATAGACAAGGATGGCTTTAATGAAGGCATCTAGTAGTCAATGCCCATTTCGCCCTTCCACAAATGGAAGTGGATCTTATTTGTGGAAGGGCGAAACGGGCGGTGACTATGAGGTGCCTTCATTATAGCCATCCTTCTCTATCGCATGGATTTCTATGGCTTACTTTATCGCTCTCGCGTAACTTCAGATAGACCATCGGTACTTTCCTACCCTGTATATGTATTCCATTAGGATACAGTGTAGGTATGCTATTCATTATAATCATAGTTATCAATTCTGTTTAATTATGATTTGTTAGGAATACTGAGAATAGTATTTAAAATTACATCATATAGTATTGTTAAAGATTTTCTCCTAATGAATGTAACAATCAAATCGAAATGTCGCAATAAAAATTAATAGATTTATAATTTTACTATGTAGTTTCCTTTCATTGCATCCACCTTACTATACCTGAATTATATGATAAGCCAAGATAATATCGGCGTCAAGTGTAATTATATATCGCACCGATATCATTTTTGCCATATAAGGAAACTATTCAGGGGTGGACTTACCTTTCACTTGCCAAATCTTGTTTATTTTCGCACGCGTTTCTGGGCAATTCTGTTCTGTATTTTGTAATAATTTTTTTCAAAAGATTAGCACAGCATATTTAGTACGTATTTCGTCATTCTTTAATTATCAATCGTTTTCAAACAAAAAGAAATAAATAATTCGTTTCGAATTACCGCGACGGATGACGTGGTTTGTGAAACACTGCGCATTAGAATTGTTTTCCTAGCAATTATAAAGATAAATACATGTCGATTCTATGATTCCGACATATATAAAAGTTCCAGCATAGGGTTTGTCAACCATTAATTTGGATGAGATACACCAAAATAATGGTTTGGCGATATAGCATTCAAATGCAAAATTAGTTACTTAGCTGCAGTAAGCTTTAGGTAAAAGGGAAATCAAAATTTCGTTCGTGTTTTGTTGACACTATTTTTGTGTTTTTTCTTTGTGCTCTCTCTTTGTGTCGTTACTAGAAAAAATGCATATTAAATGTTCGTTGCACGTAAATGGCTGGTATTGCCGGTTGTTTTGATTTTTTTTATAGATAGTCTACTAACTTACATTAAATAAATGACTACCTATGTATTGGTTAAATATGAATTAGTGTTTGGAAAGTCTTAATCTATATGTAGACTTACCGTATTCTGATTTTATGTCCTTCTCTACGCACGCCTCTGTCCCGAAAGTTGTGCTATAGTAGGGAAAATTGCTAAACTTGATTTTTCTTCAGCTTCTTCGCACCGTAAAGTTGTTTTGTACCGTACCTACTACAGAGTCTTCATATAGCCTTCATATAGAGCTAGATGTATTATATACGTGTAAAGAAACCTTTTTAACGCCGTTACGTTTCATGGTGCCTCTGAAATGGATATACCAGCAAGCCACCATAGATTCCTGAAGTTAAAGTTTAACGATTTGGACCAAGTACATACAAAAGCCTACGCCTGCCGAGATGTAGCCTTTTCAACATGGTACCGCAAAACAACGTTTTTCCATATAACTTTAAAACGATTTGAGCTAGATATTTCCTATTTGATATTTCAATCTAGTATATTATGTACTTGCATGTGTAAGAAAATTATATACAAAGTGTTATTTTTTTTAGGCACTCGCCCCCTTGATCGTTCCATACCATTTTCATCCGTACGCCTATGACATTTTGTAATACAAAATTTTTCTAATACTATTTTGTCTCCTGTAAAATTTAGATATCGGATATGGATTACTAGTAAATCAGCAAAATCTTCGGCTTTAAATGTAGGGTGTTAAAAATACCGTTCTAATATTTGGAGGACTCTCAAAAAAATAAGGAAAACAATTTATATGAACATACCTAACTATACTGGTGGCTGAAAATTTGTCACAAAGGTGGGTTTTATTTAATAGTTTTGAAATAATTGTAGTAAACATACAACATTTTAGGAAATATGTTTGTATAATTTTACATTAGAAATTACAATCGTTATAAAGTTATATGAAAGTTATATGAAATAATGTTATTTCGCGGTGCCAAATTAAGAGGACTATATCTCAGTAGGCGTTGACTTCTACGAGTATATAGGTAAACTGATTTAAATCATCTTATTTCGGCCTTGGAAATCCAGGGTTTGGTACATGATGTCTTGGATATTCGTTACATAAAATTTAAGTCTTCAGAGTTTCACATTGTAGTTTTGTTCCTTAATACATTAGTTACAAGAACAGTTTAATCATCCCTGCTATTTAACAGACCATTAATCGATACTCAAACTATTGCTCCCAAGAGAAATTAATGTTATAAATTAATACATGTGGAAACGAATTGAATAAATACGGACATTTTTTTGAAATACTATAGATTATTTATTGGAACGGGATTTACAAATTATACTAAGACAAGTTACAGATTAGATAAGGTTCTGGCTGTGACTCAAAATAATTCATAATCGTAAGTTTTGCGTTGTAAACAAAAAGTAATAGAGGTTTATCTTAAGTAAATATGCTTAAGAATGTATTTAGATAAAGTGATTTTAAACAATGTCTAGGTAAACCACTAGAGTTTGGCTTTAGGTATTAACAATTAAATTATATTTACCTGTTATATACTTCTTCAAAGTAGTGAAATTGACATGTTGGCGTGTTTGTAAGTCAACTTGATGAATTTTTACTTCTAATTGAGTAAATCAGTGGACCAAGTTTTATCAGTCTACTCTAAATACAGATATTTTATATATTTTACATATAATAATTTGTTCTAGCACCTGGTGAGTTTCTCGATTAAAACCTGAATAATCCTATATAGAAAATATGAATGTCTTAGCTGTAATCTGCATTTTTATCTGTTTGTTATAGCGCGACAAATCTTTATTTCTTGTACAATATACAATAGAAATATTTAAAAATTATTGTTTTGGTAAGTGAATTAATTGCTTTTTATTAGTTCAGTTTCTCGCTATTACTATCAAAGATCTACAAAAAATATGTACCGCTGTCTAAGTTTATTGGTGTGTGTATGTATCCCTTATCAGGAGAAAAGCGAACCTAAACTTATCTAATCCACTTTATTTTATCTAAATCCTAAACTTGACCCAACCTAACTTAACCGACTATATCCTCACACAACTTAATGTCTTATAAAAATGACCAAAATTCAAATATTAGAAATTTTCGTCCATACTCCAATTTTAATTTGAAAACAACTTTAGCAATATTCTGCTATATGGTACCATCACAGACAATATAACTTAGCGATAATCTATATTGCCTGTGATACTACTTTCCAGAAAATCGCGCAATTAAAATGTGAATGTGTCTGTTTTTTGAAGAAAAATTTTTGTCGATAGGTAAAATTTAATCTAAATGTATTAGTGCAATATTCTGAAATATGTTATCATTTTGTTCCGAAATACACTACTAGAAAAAATTAAATGAACAAAACATTTTCATGAATGTTTTGATGATTTTCGAAAGTCTGTATCTCAGAGAAAAATGGTCCCAATGAGATAAAAAATCGTTTTGAAACTTCAAGTCTCTAATTTCTAGATACTTTAGACAATTTTTTTTTGAGTTATAATTGTCGGGCAATCAAAAGAAATAGAAAAAAATTCTTCTTAAGTAAGTATATTTAACGCAAAATTGTGGGAAAAGTCGAGCAAAATTCGTCTTTTTTATTTTGATAATGATTACATAATATTTAGGAGAAATAAACGTTTTTTTTTGGAAATCTTGGAATAGAAAAATGGTTTGATGCATCAACTGTGAACTGTGTATTGTGGCTATAAAAACTTCTCTCAACATTAATCTTTTCATAATATTTGTAAATTGTCGTTATATTTTCTTAAAAAACTATGTTATATTTTTACACGTTTTTCAAATTGATGTCAAGGATGAAAAATTTTTTTCTTCAACAACCATGACAGTTTCTTGGAGAGAATTTATTCAAGATTTCCAAACTGCCTCTGGATTTACTGTACAATAATTTCTTGCAGATATATCGATGATTAAAGACAAAATCATCGATATCTCGGTAACCAGTAGGAGACCTTCCAAAAATCAAATTGAAGCTGAATAAATAAGCTAACTGACCTCTGTATTGATTGAGTTTGAAATATCTTTCCAGTCCATGGACAGTCCTAAAAAAGTGTCGAAGTATTTCTTTTGATTGCTTGATAACCGTAGCTCAAAAATTTTTTTTGTCCAAACCTCTTGAAACTAGGTAGAGACTTAAAGCTTCAAAATGATTTTTTTTATCTCCATTTTTCACTGAGCACAGTCAAGAGACTATTTTCATTCAAAATAAAATTTGAATTTTGAACAAATGTCTTCATAACTAATTTGAACTGAGACATATTATTTTATCTTTTTTAAGTTAATTTAATTCAATTTCAATTTTTCGTTGGTTCAAAGGTGTTTATACGAAAATGTGAGCTTTAATTTGAAGGAAAAACACATTAATTTCTGGTACGTTACATTGTGTAAAAATATTCTATTATTTTTTAAACTATTTTCATTTCTATGTCATTTGTTTGCGTTTATATTTTATGTTATGTATATACTAACTTAATATTACTCAACTTAAGTTTTTTTTTGTATTAAGGTGGCTTTATTACCCTTACGTATAATAATTAAAAAAATACAAATCATAGGGTGCTTTTATCTACAAATCAAAGACTGAGTTGACTTACGTATAATTTTTCATTCTTGTGATAGCTGATAAATTAAATGTAAAATTTGACAGTGAAATGAAGTTTTGACTGATGAAATGTTGTTATTTCAGAAGGTCGATCCGGAGCTGATTTTTACGAAACAAGAACGTATTGGGAAAGGTTCCTTTGGGGAAGTCTTTAAGGGTATCGATAACAGAACAACACAGGTTGTAGCTATTAAGATTATCGATTTGGAAGAGGCGGAAGATGAAATCGAGGACATTCAACAGGAAATTATGGTGTTATCGCAGTGCGATAGCCCGTACGTCACGAAATATTACGGATCGTACCTTAAGGTAAGTTCTTCTTACGTATACCTAATTACATCATGCATACTTGAGAATGTGTTTACCGTTAATATTTTGGCAAATAGGACATTTCTTATGAAAGACAAATGTTGCAAATAATAAAATATTGGTAATACGTTGCTTAAAAATAAAATAAAACAAAAAATCAAATATATGTGCAATTTTCCCACATTTTATATGTACAGGGTGTTTCCAAGCCGTCTAATCATAGACGTAAACAACAAAAACATTTGTAGCTGAAATTTGGATTTTTAAAATACATTCCTGCTTATTTAAAAAATCTCAAAAAAACTATGCATAAAAGCTTACTTTATATATTTTTTAATTTGTATGTCTTAAGTTATTTATCAAATTTATGTTTATGCCTCTAATTTGCCGGTTCATTAATTTTACTATCAGTGATTTTTCAAATCAGACAATATCATACACAAACATACATTTTAAGTATGAATACTTTTTCGTTTTTGCCCCTTTGTTCCTCATAAGTTTTACTGAATTCTTCAAAAATGAAAGTATTTCAGAAATTACTTTTTAATCAAACATAATCACTTACAAATGTCAAATTTTAAATATTTAGTTGATGACCACTAGTTGTTACTTTTTGGTTTTTTGATCAGGATTAAATTAGAAAGCATAAAAAAATATGATTATATTTTGTCAATGTTTTGTAATTTTTTTTACAATATCTTTCATAAGTCTAAAAACTGTAATTGTGCTTAAGAATATTTAGAGATAAAATTGAGAATCTTTTCTGTTTTAAATAAGAATGTAACGCCCTAGGGTTTTCCGGGAATAGTTTTTATATTTTATTTATAACCAGCTGTTTGTTGACAAAGTTACATCATATTGCCCCAAGTAGCATTGAATTATAACCGCAACACCTAGTAAACAACTATAAGTTAAAAATACTTACTTCTTTTTTCAAAAACACGAGTCAATTGAAATTTCGAATACCGATAATTCTGTAAGTACAGAATTTGCTTTACTACATTTTTATTAATAACCGTAACCTAATTTTTTTTTATGTATTACATGAGCAGGAAGAGTTCTGGAATTCCGTGATGATATTTGCAACATTATACAGATAAAGAAACTATAGTTAAGAGTACGGGGGTGAAGTTATCCACATCCACATTTTCTAGTAGGACTAGAATCGATAAAGTCGTCGCCCCAAAAATTTTGTAAAAAAATATCGTTGCTCCTTTATACTGTGTCTTCGACTGTTTTTATTTTAGCATAGATCGATAGCGAATGAGTAATTATAATGAGTAACGATTATAGATTCAGTCGTCATCCCATATGGGGGATGAAATGGGGAGAATTTCAAAAAAACTTTCTTGTTTTGTTATAATGTACCTTCGTGCTTTTATTTTACCATAGATCGACAGGAAATAAGTAATTACATTAACAAAAGGTCACATTCATTTCAGCCCGTACGCGGTGATGAAATGGGGTGAATTTCATAAAAAAAATCAATTGCTTCGTTATAACGTGCCTTCGAGTTTTCATTTCACCACAGATCGACAGGTAATAAAAAATTACATTAATTAACAGTGTCACATTCATTTGTCAGCCCGTTGAAATGGGGTGAAGTTCATAAAAAAATTGCTTCGTTATAATGTGCCTTCGAGTTTTCATTTCACCATAGATCGACAGGAAATAAAAAATTACACTGAATCACAGTGTCACATTCATTTGTAAGCCCGTACGGGGGAATGAAATGGGGAGAATGTCATAAAAAAATCAATTGCTTCGTTATAACGTGCCTTCGAGTGTTCATTTCACCATAGATCGACAGGGAATAAAAAATTACATTAATTAACAGTCGCATTCATTTGTCAGCCCGTACGGGGGTGAAAGGGGGTAAATTTCATAAAAAAATTAATTGCTTCGTTATAACGTGCCTTCGAGTTTTCATTTCACCATAGATCGACAGAGAATACAAAATTACATTAATTAACAGTGTCACATTCATTTGTCAGCCCGTACGAGGGAATGAAATGGGGAGAATGTCATAAAAAAATTATTTGCTTCGTTATAACGCGCCTTCGAGTTTTCATTTCACCATAGATCGACAGGAAATTCGTTATAACGAAACAATTAATTTTTTTATGAAACTCACTTCATTTTATCCCCCCGTACGAGTTGACAAATGAATGTGACTGTTAATTAATGTAATTTTTTATTTCTTGTCGATCTATGGTGAAATGAAAACTTGAAGGCACGTTATAACGAAGCAATTGATTTTTTTTATGAAATTCAGCCCATTTCATCCCCCCGTATGGGCTGACAAATGAATGTGACACCTTTTGTTAATGTAATTACTTATTTGCTGTCGATCTATGGTAAGATAAAAGCACGAAGGTACATTATAACAAACCAAGAAAGTTTTTTATGAAATTCTCCCCATTTCATCCCCCGTATGGGATGACGACTGAATCTATAATAATCGTTACTCATTATAATTACTCATTCGCTATCGATCTATGCTAAAATAAAAACAGTCGAAGACGCAGTATAAAGGAGCAATTATTTTTTTTTTTACAAAATTTTTGAGGGACGACTTTATCGATTCTAGTCCTACTAGAAAATGTGGATGTGGATAACTTCACAACCGTCTTAATAAGATTGTGCTTTTACGGGATGTATTCAAAGTCTGTCGTAACTTGTGGAGGTTGTCCTTTGGGCCATTTTAAACCAAAAAAATCTTTAGCTATTGGTATTTTAGTCTGTCAACCAGTAATGGAGATAGTAAGAGGTACTTTTACAAAAAAATTTTATGACATTTTATACACGAGTATTTTTTATATTGGATTGGAAATGCATTTTATTGTTATTTTTTTATTTTAGCATTATTCGAAAAATTAGCTATTTTTAAGTAAATAAAAGAATATTTCCAAGAAAAAAATCTTTGTTTTTTTATTTTCGAAAAAGAATAGTTTTAGATTTATTTTAAATTAATTTACTGCGTGATAAGCTTATTTAAATAAAACTATTAATGACTTGAATATGACTCTTTTTTCAAATATATACATTCTTCTTAGAAATAATAGGATTTAAATGAGATGAGCACTTAAACCCAATTTCCAGAATATTCAGTGGCAGGGAAATTCTGGAATTCTTCGTGACAGTACCTCTCAGTACCGCAGACGGCAAGTTTGTGTACCAGTTCGGTAAACTCATACCTTTAATTAATTAGTTCAAATTTCATTTGATTATTTCTAATGCATAAGGCGCAAATTTATTTACCTGGATGTGACGGACGTTTGTTGATTTTTTTTACGACTAAACGGTATGAGTTATCAGAATTTTGAAAGAGATAAAATTTATTAAAAAAGTTTTAGCCTTCACCAGAAAAACATTGCGATAATCAGATAATATGTCAGATAATTTCACATACAAAATATCAAAAATCGTAAAACGCTTTTCCGTTTTATAACTGATTATTGATAGTCTTTCAAATACTTTAGCACCCCCTAGCGCCCTTACGGTGCATTTTTGCATAAGGTAAATTAGTATAAATCGTCGTAGTTTGACCTTAAGGAGGTGTATCGGGTTTAAAAAGATAATGAAGCTTACCAGCAATTAGGCCATGCTTGGCCCTTTTTGCCTGCACAGCCCTGGCTCGCCTCTGTAGGCAAGCCTTGGCCGCTTCGGCTACCGCCGCGCCGTGTATCGGGTTTACTCAAATGCACAGATGTACTTGAAATTTATGTAGCGTATTACCCAATGCTCCCTCTGTGCGTCATATTTTTTTTGAATTTTTTTTTAATCTAGAATTTGAGATAACGTTGTTGAAAGTTCTTCATTTTAACATAGGTTTATATGGCGATGATGGACGGTGCGGCTCTTTTTTTGCCCATAACTGAGAAAAAAAATGTAGAAATTGTGAAACAAAATTTTTCCATAGATAGTACACAGTATTATCTTGTTTTTGATGTAAAACTAATGTAAGTTTTGAACATAGTACAGCTGTATTAATTAGAAACAGAAACCAATAATTGCATTTCTGTCTGACTTGAGGATTAATGTGGCAACGTCGCAATCAGCTGACAGCAAGGAGGGAATACATTTGAAAGACTTGATAAAATGAAATTGATTTCAAACATATACATTTTTCCTAAATGCCATGTACATTATCAACAATAAATATCAAAAATAAAAAACTAGATTAATTAAAAAGACTAGGAAGCTGTGATATATTTATTGGAATGAAAAATACAGTTGATAAATCCTTTTAATATATTTAATGGTTTATAAAAACATCGTAATCATTACCCAGCAATATTTAGGGTTACATAAAGTTTTCTTTACTTGATTAATATAATTAGTAATACTTGAGATGAAAGCATTTGTATGGAATAACAAAGGAACATAAATATTTCTCAGCAAACTTTATATCTAAAAAATTAGTTATAGTTGCAATACTTTTGTAACATTACTAAAATAGAGATGAAAAACACGAACAGTGAGTAATAATGTAATTTCTATCACAGAACCTTCAGAATTGCATCCAACATTTTCTTCGACTTGGACGAGAGATGGGCGCGAGTGTCATTTCATTTCTTTAGAACTAAATTAACATAATTCTCGTTGTTTTACCAGTTCACGATCTACGGATTTTAAATAAAGGATACACATCTTCGCGAGGATAATACGATATATTTGCTATATATAATAATTATATTGTACATAGTTTACACCAATACATTTTTGAACCCGTACGCATCTTTCCCGAATTTGACGCGCAATATCTCCGATGTTCGAGGTCTGTAGGTTCGCAGTGTATACAACTGCTAGTCAGTTATTAGCGCTGTTGCCACATCTACATAGTCTTTATACGTTCATTAAATATAATTTAAAACTACTTAAATATAATATTTTTATGTTGTTAGTTAGTCAATATGTATGCTATGTGCATATGAGTAGATTTCTTTGCTATATAGATAATGTTTATCGCAAATAATTTCAATAGAATTTGATTTTTT